TATGGTTCCTTGCCCTCCTTTCCCTAAATGCTGAGAGGTTGTTGGGGGGCAGGGAGGCTTGGCTTACCTGAGGTTGTATTCCTTGGAGGACGTGGTCCTTGGGTGCTTATGGACCTTCTGAAATAAATGTTTACACTTGGAGGATTTAAGCTTAGACCGAGGTGTAAGGTAAGCACTCCAACAAGCAGTCACATCCATAAATGATTATTTTAGTCCTAGGCTTCAACGACAAGGGTCAGTCACAGTATTTCTCTCAAAGGTCTCTTCTGCAGTGAAATTTGGGAGGAATCCTTTGCTCTTCAGAGCCTCAGGGGAGCATCTTTCCCAGTCCTACTTGGAAACGCCGTAACTGGATGGCCGAGTTTGTTTAACCTCTCTTTATCTGTTGTACCCTAGTGTGTTGTCAGTTCAAGTCACTTTAACTGAGTTAAACACGCGTCCAGGGTGCTCAGTCCACGTAGTTAGATTATTAGATGCACCAGCTGAGCGACCAGGATAGCTATGCGTGAGTGCCCTTCTGCGTAAGCATCACTGGGGGAGAACCGACTGAAAAGAAGCCGCGGTGGGGTCTGTGTGTATCTTTGCTGCACTCCTGGTGTTTTGTGTGCACCTTTCTGTGTGCAGTTTGCAAGTGATGACCAGTAGTTGGCTGACAATCTGAATGATTTGCAGGGAATATTTGAATATTGTCTGATAAAATACTAATCTGAAGGTTAATGTACTGAAGACCAGGGGGGTTGTATTTGGCAAAGTAAATAGAGTGAAGAGCTGCAGGTGATGATGAAAAACTGTAGCAGGTAGACAGTTCTGTGCGTCTTGGTAAAAAGCATTGCTATGGCTGAAGTGAGAAGAGAGTTTATTTCTAGGACACCCCCCCCTGACCTTGGAAACATGACGAGGACCAGGTTCAGTTCCCCACTTTGCATAAGCCCCTCAAATCCCCCAAAAAAGTATTCCTGCCCCTAAAGAGAGCCCACCCCAACTAACCCTTTCCTTGCTGAAAAGAAAGAAATATCGCTCACCACTAACAAGGCAGATGAAATTGACGAGAGGCAGGGAAAATCTAGCCCCTTGCAATTGACTAGGGCAGTGCTTCTGAAAGTGTGGTCCTAGGACCCTGGTGGGGGTCACCCAACACCCTCTCAGCAGTCCATGAAATCAAAATTATTTGTCACCCTATGTTCAGAAGAATACACCAAGAAAATCCCATCAAACAATCATGAGAAGCAATAGTGGCAGTGGCTGCACCAATTTTAATTTTTAATGCAATAAACATCAATAAGAATAACGAAACAAAAGCTCTTTGGGTCCTCCATAATTTTTAAAAGTGAGAAGGGATCCTTAGAGAAAAAAGTTTATCAAACACCGGGCTAAGGCAAACCTAACTGGCCCCTAACCCCACCAATGGTTCTCTCCTTGCTAACAAGAAACAGTGTCTATTTCCAGCATCTCTGAAAAGTTTAGTGTTTCTTAACAATAAAACAGCTCTCTTACACAGTCAGACTTACCCAGTTTTCCCTATATGGTCCCAAGATCCTGAGAGTGAATCAGAGCCCTAGAATTTCCCACCCCATACTTCAAAACCCTTAGAAAAGACCTTCCTTTCTATTGTTCCCTGTTCCTCTTTTTGGTAAGCTGGAACTCGGTGATTGTTGTTTCAACGTGTGCAATCTTCTTCCCCAGAATTGGGCTCCATCTTTCTCATCCACCACATTTCCTAAAGTTGGGGAAATGGAGGGAGAACCTTTAAGAGCTCTGAGTCCTGGTAGAAGGTAGTGGACAGCATATGGCTTGCTGTGAAGAATGAATGTCAAAAGGAGTGAAAAGGGCAGTTTGATACCAGAGTGAGCTTCTGCCCCCTTTTCAAGAGGGTTGGAGGGGGGCAATGAGGAACAAACAAGTTCAGCTGCTTTTGTACATGGATACGGTTGCACACCGTATGAAGCACATTGAGGTCTCATCATAAAGAGACAAGGTAGGGGGATGAAATCACAGAAGGAAATAGGAAGGATGAGCAAAGGTTGTGTTGAGAGGAAGGGAGGAAATGGAAGGAACTGTGATTAGATGGAGTTGATTAGATCCTGAGTAAGTGAAAAGCCAGACGTTTAAAGAACAAAGATCATTATGAAACTGTGTATGGATGTAGTGAACGCAAAGACAGTGGTTTGCAAGAGCAGAAAGTGACAGCGGTATAGTGAATCATGTAGCTATAAACCTGATTCAATTTCTTTTCCTTTATCTCCTACCTGTAATGTCATAGTCTTATGCTTCCTGCTCTTTTTCTGTGCTTTGCATAAAGTTCCTCACTCCACTGGGTATGTATCTCGCCATATATGTTAGTGCTCCAGACAAAAGGGAGCCCTCTCCAGTTGGAGTTTCAGATTTTATGGCCCCCTTTAACGGTGTTCAGTGGATCCTAGTTCCTGAGTGAAGCATGGAGGGGACATTCTTATCTACATATAGCACCTTTGGTTGGAAGGACAGCATGAGGATCTAAATACACAGAACTCTAATATCTTTGGAAATAATTATGTCAGTTAGTAAGCTATGGAATGTAATGTCTAATAAAAAAAGATCTGATCCCTTTTCCCATGCTAAATTGACTCTATGGGGAAACCCAACATTAAAAATTGGGGAAAAGATGGTGATATGGAAAAGTTGAATGGATGCAGGGATATTGACTCTGGACTAACTGATAGAAGATGAAAGTGAATTTTTAACATACTCTGCATTAAGAGATAAATATCATCTACCAGATGTAACCCAATGGCAATATCTACAGCTACAACATTTGTTAACATTGTTTGGACCAGCAGCATTTTCAGCTTCCAAGACCCTGAGATACTAAGAGAACTCGTTAAATCCTTTCAAACTAAAAATCTACAATTAGCTTTTATAGATATTTGTTATCAATAAATAAATTTGATATGCAGATGTTAAGGATTGAGTGGAATAAAGAATTAGAGGTTTCTATATTGCCTAGACAATGGGTAAGTGTCTTAACTTCTATAGCAAGAGTGTCAATGAACCTTAAACTACAACTTATATAACAAAAACTAATATTTAGAATTTACTGGACTACACTACGTTTGTACAGAAAAGGATTGTCAAAAAAACCAGCATTTTGTTGGAGATGTAATAAGGATACTGCTTCTTTGAAACAGATGTTTTTACAATGTCCTATACTTACTAAGTCTTGGAAGAAAGTAGTGGATTATGTATACATGATTGTGCATCAAAAGCTAACATTTTCAGAGGATAATATTCTTTTGAACTATATACCTAGTACATGGAATTTGACATCTGGACAACGTAAATAAATCCTTTGTGCCCTTTCTATGGCCAAAAGACTGATATTGCAGCACTGAAAAGATAAATGTATGGCCCCATTCACTCAGTGGATTGAAGACCTGGTTGCACTTGCCACCTATGAGCGGATTGCCTATAGACGTAGACTTTGTATGGACAAGGATAATGGAATATGGGACTCAGTTATACAAAATACAGTAGGTTAAAAAAATGATATCAATGTATTGGCAATATATGCATTTGAATAATATTTGCATTAGCTAAATATATATAGATTTGTAACTATTTACTGTTATAATGGTATACAATGCTTTTATTTTTTTGTTGTATTTTTATCACTTTTTTGTAATAGCACCTTTTAATGTTTTTTTTTCTTCTTCTTGTGTATTATTATTTTTGTGTGTTGTTTTTCTTTTTTCCTTTCTGTTATTAATGAAAGAACAATAAAAAATTATAAAAATAAATAAATACATGAGGTACAACGAGAAAAGGTGAAATATAGAATATTGAATAAACTAGATGATCGTGATAGTGGAATAGGATCTTCTCTAATCTACTTCCTCGGCTTAAACACATCAACCAATTTGCAGATCATTACTGTGGTATCATATCACTAAAAACATCAACAATCTGAAAGCATGAAAAATGGTAATAAATGGCAACAAAATGGATATTATCGAAGGCGTATTTTCTGGTTAAGGCGCCTGACAATGTTACACACAATATGAAGCACATTGAGGTCTCATCGTAAAGAAACAAGGTATGGGGATGAATTCACAGAAGGAACGTAGGAAGGATGAGCAAAGGTTGCGTTGAGAGGAAGGGAGGAAATAGAAGGAATTCTGATTTGATGGAGTGGGCCAAGAAAGTTTGTAGGAATAGAAAGATATGGAGCAATACATTGAATCATGTAGGTCTCAATAAGATTTAGTTGCATTTTCTTTCCTATTCCCTTATCTCCTACCTCTAATGAATGTTTCATGCTCTTTTTCTGTGCTTTCCATAAAGTTCCTCCCTGCACTGGGTGTGTATCTCACCGTGTCTGTTAGTCCTCCAGGCAAAAGGGAGTCCCGTCCAGTTGGGGTTTCAGATTTATGGCGCCCTTTAACTGTGTTCAGTGGATCCTAGTTCCTGAGCGAAGCATGGATGGGAAATTCCTCTAGAAATCCTATCCTGGGGCTGTTTAGTTTCAGACAAAAACTTTCCAAGCAGTGTATATGATGGGTGTTCAAAACATTTCAAAGCCAAATGCCTCCTTTCGAATTCAAATTACCACACTACGCATGCAGATCAGTCCACTTTGAACTAAGCAGACTTCAGGTTTGGGTCATCATTAATGGAAATGTCCCTATTATAGAGAGAGAAGAGATGAAAGGGTTATCACACAAAAAAAAAAAAAAACCAGGAAGGCAAACAGAATCCAGTGCTGAAAAGCAGTTTATATGAGAAAGAGTCACTAACTGGTTTTGACCAGTAAAGGAAGTGGTGCAGAGGTTATAC